TCTTCCTCATCTTCATCTTCTTCCACCTCAAATATGTCTTCTTCTATTTCCTCATCGAAATCTAATACCATCTCGAGACTACCATTATTGTCGGAAATTACAATCTGTTCTATATCGTATCTATGAAATGTATGTGTTTCGAGATCCAGTTCTTCAACTTCACACTGATTTATAACTTATTATTGTAAGTCAACTTCTTCTACCTCAGGCGCATCCCATAAATGTCTATGTTCAACTTTTTGAACTACTTTCCATCCACTACCTAACTTGAGAACTTCAACGTAAAATATTTGTGCTTGGGAGACAAGTATGAATGGTTCGTCCTTATACCACAAATAACACGTGTTTATGCTCGTAAAATGATGGTCCTGACGAATACGATTATTCTTAGAATTCGTATTATACCAATCACACATGAATAATAGAACTCGTTTTCTATTAACGTATCTCAACCGATAACTTATTTAATGACACCGTAGAAATCAGATAACTCAGTGTTATGTCCATTGATAACACAAACTCCATTATTATTTTGTGTTATGCATCTATCATCTCGATCTATCGAGTTAAATCAAACTCCATTCATAATACACCCATTATATGAACGAGTTCAAATATCAGGACCACATGCTAGTGTATTCAACTCATGCACAACAACATCCGACTTTGAAGAAGCTTGGGATCTTATCTACACACATATTTTACAAAAGCAAAAGTCAAAGAAATAGTGAATCATACTAAATAGTTCCTATAGAAAATTTTCATATAGTAAAACTCACTTTTCTTTTGAACCATTCTGGAAATAGTACTTCATACAACTTGGCTAAATTACCATTGTGTTCTCATTGTAACTCTAATTCGTGTTCTCTGTGATACGATATCAATAATCAATCATCTTTGAAATAGATTTATCCAATTTGAGTACAAGAAACTTCATACCGTCTATATGGATCCACTGCTTCACAATTGGATAGAACATACCAATGTGTCATTCGTAGCTCAGCAGGCGATAATTCATTCAGTTGTGAACCACCGATTGGACGTAAATTTTGTGAGAATACAGGAAGATGTGCCTTTGAGTCTTTTAGGTCCACCATGTCATCATTTCGAATGGGCTTTGGTTTCGATTCGATCGAGGTACATTGAACAAAATGTCAATGTTTCATTCGCAATGATAGCTTCTGCTATAGAACCTTCAGGTCGAGGTTTATGTTTCACATATTGTTTCATTGTCGTCAAACTCCTATGAACTTATGTGATATTAATTAGTTATATCACTAAATATCATTTGTAACTATATATATAAATAAAGGTGTATACCTCTCAATCGGATACATCCAGCTATAACCGACAGGTCCTACTAGTTTGGCTTTTTCAGGCAAGTGAACAGCTAGATGAAGCATAACATCGAAAAACACTGGACGGAATATTCTCTCAAATTTGCCTAGAATCAATACAATTACATCTTGCAACTTATTCAACGTCTTAACTTTCAATGTATTTGCAGTCAATTCTTTGAAGAAATTTGACAATTCTGCAATAGCCCCACTAACATCATTGGGCAAAAATGGACGAACCCCAACTAGTAAAAGCCTTTGTAGTAACGCATGTGAGTCGTGACTTTTCAAGCCATATATTTTTCCGTCTTTACCGCTGACACATCTCGATATGTTCGATGCAAAAGTATAAGGGAATTTGACAGTTTTCAAAAAGCTACGAAACTTTTTCTTTCATCTGTTGTTAAAGTGTAGCTAGCATACGGTTTCAAAAATTTGTTCCCGACTTGTAGGAGATGTAATTCTTTACGTATGTTCAACTTCATTAAATTCTTACGTGCTTTATCTGTGTCCTTTGTTTTCCCTTCAATATTTAATAATGTGCACATGACATTATCACTAATATTCTTCTCGATGTGCATGATATACAGTTTGTGTCGAATTTTGAGATTTGACCAATATGGTAACTCAAACAATATGCTTCTCTTCACCCAATTAAATTCATTATGAAGTCCTTTCTGTTTCCAAAGTAAAACGTTGATATTTTTCTCAAGTGGTAGAAAAACAATGGAATCTAACTGGTGGACGACATCCAATCCAGAAAAATGTCGTGGTGCAACTCAATTTTCTATTTTTCCATTGTATTGTTGCTTTTTCACGAAGGATGACTCTGTGGTAAGAATCGACGATGTCCCATGTAGCATATCTTACTATGCAATTTGTCTGATGTAATGTCCACATTACATATTGGGTATGCCTTATATCCTTTCGTACTGCATCATGATAGATTGCAATAAGCCAGAAAGTTGTTAATCATCCATACCAAAGTTGTAGGGAGTTGAAAGTTCTTACCACTACATGCATCATACGTATCAAGACCAATAGACCATAATTCTTTCAATTATTCTATCAGTGGTTGCAAATAAACGTCTATCTCTTTTCCTGGAGATTTTGGACATGGTATAAGTAATGACATGAAAAAAGATGATTCTTTCATACATTTCCTGGGGGGTAAGTTATATGGAATCAGTATTACTGGCCACGTACTATATGACAAATTCATGTTTCCAAATGGATTGAATCTATCAGTAGCCAAGACTAATCTTACATTCCTTGATTCTTTTGCGAACCAAGAATGTTGTCTATCAAAATCTTTCCATGCCTCAGCATCTGCTAGATGTCTTAAAACCCGTTCATTGTCTATTTTTATTTCCTTATGCCATATAATTTCTTTTGCCGTACGTTTAGATAGAAATAATCTTTGCAATCGAGGCTTCAATGGGAAATGCCTGAAAATTTTGTATGAAATCTTTTTTCCTTTACCCTTGTTTGTTTTATAACGGGATATGTTGCATTATGGACAGACATCAGCTTGCTAACTTTCTCTCTAGAATAATATACAATCATTCTTGCAAGCATGTATTTTTTCATACCCTAAACCCAAATCTCGTTACATCTTTTTTGCACCATAATAAGACTCTGTAATACTACAATCATTAAGAAGAGCTTCTCTAAGTAATTGCAACAACATATCAAATGACTTATTACTCGATATTAAGGACTTTGATATGCATTAACTTAACCATGAATGTTAGCACCAAAAATTTTGTACATCCATGGTATAATTCTTGATCAAATTCATCAAACATTGATTGAAACTTGGTATTTTCAGCTTGCCTATTGTCACTTGACTCGCCCCTAATTGATTGATCTATCCCCCTAAATTCAATGTATCTCTCATTTGTTAAATCATTTAATAATCTCTCATTCCATGTTTCTGCTGTGTGTTTTGATTAATACTTGTATGTATCCTCTTAGAAGGCAACTCTCGAGTTTCCCCATGGAAAGTCCATATCTTATAATAAGGACACATTCCATATGAGTACAAATGACCTTCCAAATCACATGGTTGTTTCCATACTAAGTTTTGGCATTTCCTACATGGGCAACGTCTAAACCATCTCTTATCGACATGCTTCTTCGACAATTGAACGAATGATCTAATTCCTTCCATATATTCTTTACTTAACCTATTCGGATTTTTTATCCAACTTTTATCCATAACTTTTCCTAGTCAAAAGTATAATACAATTAAACCCTAACATAATTAAACAAATGTAAGTACGAATTTATAAGAAAAATATACAACAAAATCATAAGTCTAACAATCCTAAARTTTTTAACCCTGTACAAATTCTAATATGTAAGATCATCATTTTTCTAGCAAATAGAAGCAAATATATTAAAGTATAATTTAAAGTAAATTCTAAGCATCAAAACTAATTCCAAACATAGAATAATCTAAAAAGAAACTCTAAACAAACAAATTTAATTAACAATTTAACTTTATAATAACTTAATAACGACATTCTTAAAATTCATTCCAAGTAAATTGTAAATAAAAATTCAACTCAATTTTAAACATAATATGTAAAAAATTCAAACAATAGACACGCATGTAATAAAATCAAAAGCGAAAAATATTGCACCAATTAATAGCGTTAAATTTTTAGATGACAAGAAGGAATGAAAGATAATTCCAAGAAAAATCTAAACAAAATTAAAAGAAATTTCATACATGTATATTTAAACCAAATTAAATTATTGAACCCTACATAAAACATAGCACAATTGTAAATCAATTGAAACAATAAACCTACTTTAAATAAAATTAAAAGAGAAAAATTTGTACCGAATAGTGGTAAATCCTTCCATGCACAAGAATAATCAATGAAATAACTCAAGCGAAAAGAGTTCTCCAAACTGTGCACGATTCAACACAAAAACTAAGGAATATAAAGTATAAATCAACAAAAATATAGCTCAAAAAACAAATACACTTATCTTAGTATTAAAATCGACCAACACCTAGTGATATTGTGAAATAACTGTTGGGAATGATAAAGGTAAACTAACTCATTTTGTCCCACATGGAAAGATTATCATTTGGAAAGTTATTTTATAAGTCAAAACCATGTAGTGGGCTTATAAACATGGTGAAAGGTAAGCCCAAGTCTTGACCCACACGTGTTCTATCACCGTTCGGTTAGCTTAGGCGTGAGGCTATCTTTTTTAGGACATTTTCTTTTCCTAGGTCTTGAGTTTTTTTTTTTAATTCAATTTCTTGTTTTAGCAACCTAGTGACTATAAATTGTCACTTCCTCTCTCATTTTACACATCCCATCTTTCACTTCCTTCTCCTATCCTTTCCATCCTTTAGAAAGATTTTTCTGAGCACGATTTGATTCCACTCCATTCTAACGAGTGCACGTTTGTATCCGAGGTTGTGTTAACCTTGGAGGGCATTCTGGCAATATAACGATTTAGCACCGCGGTCGTGCCGATTTTGCTTTCAGGACAGTGGTTTCACCCACGACACAACAATTCTTAAATAGGTCGTTCCAATTTTGACCTTATCCTTCTCTTAATCTGAAAGCAAGATTTACATGGCTACTATCGGATCCGGGAAGGCACTAGCAGACTTGTCAAAATTGGAACCTCTCGATGGATCCAATTATCGCCGCTGGTCCCAGAAGCTACTTATTTTCTTTGAGCAGTTGGAGATCGACTATATCCTGCTCAGCCCCCGCCGTTGCCACAACCACCACTGCTGACCAGTCTGCCGCTACGACTTCAGCTACGACTGCTAATCTCGGAACGTCCACTGTTGCTGTCGGTGGTACTGACAAATTTGAGAAAGACAACAAGACTGTTCGTGGGCATCTACTCAAGCATATGAAGGATTCTCTCTTTGATCTGTTCGTAGTACAAACATCTGCAAAAATTATTTGGGACAATTTAGAATCTAGATATGGTCAGGATGATGCAGGCAGGAAAAAGTATGTCGTCGGTAAATTATTTCAATTCCAGATGACGGATGAAAAACCAATAATGGATCAAGTTCATGAGCACGAAAACCTGGTGGCAAATGTGCTCTTAGAAGGCATGAAGATTTGTGAGGTTTTTCAGGCGAATGCACTGCTTGAGAAATTCCCTCCCTCATGGAGTGACTATCGAAACCACCTGAAACACAAGAAAAAAGAGTTGACTCTACAGGAATTGATCAATCACATGCGTACAGAGGAAGCCAATAGACAAAAGGATAAACTCTCTTCTCAATCTTTAAATTCAGTTAAAGCTAACTTAGTTGAATCTTCTAGTGCTTTCAAAGATAGGTTCAAAAATAAAGGGAAACAAGGTTTTAATGATAGAGTACAAAATCAGAAGGGATTTCAAATAAAAAATGCTGGAGGAAAAATTGAGAAAGCCAAACTGGTTTGTTATGTCTGAGGAAAACTATGACACAAATCCTATCAATGCATCCAGAGACAAGACAAACGACCGACTCCACAAGCGAATCTCGCAGAGACAGACGATATCATTGCCGCCATGGTCGTGAAGGCAAATCTGGTAGAAAAAAAGTTTGACTGGATCCTAGACACCAGAGCTTCCAGACACTTCTGCTCGAACCGTGAGATCTTCCACGACTTTCAGGACTCCACCGATGGCGAATGTGTCTTTATGGGGAACCCTACCACAGCTGGAGTACTTGGGAAAGGGAAGATACTCTTAAAACCCACTGATTACGCTTGTTTACATGCGTAAAAAAAAGGTTTTTGATGCTGTTTTTACTATGTTTTAACTTTGTTTCGGACTTTTTCTCGGTCGTTTGAGTTCTAATTCATGCAAAATTCATATATGATGGTTTGTGGTTCCTTTATTGAGCTTTGTTTTGTTTCCGTTGTTACTTAGTTATTTTCTACCTATTCAAATTTCTAAAAATCCAGCACTTAGCTTATCTTTACTTTGCCTTTACTTTATTTTTAGTGAAGAGAATTGTGTTTTTTGGAGGAAAGAGCACGTGACACTCCCCCTTGCTTGAAAGAGAATGGCGAAGCTCTCAATCCCGAGCAAAACTCTCCGTTAGTTAACTTTTGTTTTTCACACATGCATTTCAATTTCAACCATTTTACTTGCTGTATTTTCTTCAATATGTCTTTCTAAATTCCCGTCTCTAGCCCGGTTATGGATAGTTAGCCTTTTATTTCTAAAAAGGGTTGCTAAGAAGTAGTGTTTTTGCTTTCCACTCATTGCTCAACATGTTTTCCCAAAAAGTAAGGATTTAGAGAAGCCCACTGTAAGTCTTAACAAGTCAATACTGAAAAAGTTGCTTATTTGCATTGTTGAGTGGTTAAATCGAGGAGAGGAGCGCCTTAGACATAAGGGTTCCGGTTAAGTAGCCTAGACATAGGACCTTAACCCGAGGTTGCGACTATTTCCATCCTAAAACTAAGATATCTCTCATAATAGACATATTAGGGAATGTCTTAGGACTTTGAACTTGCTTAGACATAAGTCAAGTGAAAAGCGTAGTCGTTGGTTCCTAAAGTAAAATGCATATCGTCCTTAGCGTATCTTTGATTTTTTGTTGGCTAACTTGAAGTAATTCGGGCTAGGTTTTACCATTATAAGACCAAATCCCAAATCCAAAACCATTATTTGTGACCACTTCCCATTTTACAAGAATCACTCATTTCAACGTTCACTATTCATTAAAACTTTAGAGTTTGGAAATTATTTAGAAGTCCTTGAGGATCGATACTTGGATACTCCATCCATTTTATATTACTCTGATAGGTGTGCGCTTGCATCTGTAGAATTGTTACTACGCTTAGTGCGTGCGTTCAGCATAACGCCAGTCACTCACTTCTGGCAAAACTTTATCTTTAAGTAATGTACTGTATGTTCCTTCCTTACGTCGGAATTTGGTGTCTGGAGGTTTGCTGAATCGAGTTGGACTTAGGATTGTGTTTGAGGCCGACAAGGTTATCATCATAAAAAATGGTGACTTTGTTGGTAAGTGATATTTAGCAGATGGTTTGTTTGTACTTAACACTGCTTCTATTAATGAAATTGATTCACATTGTTCTTATATGGTTGAGTCTATTGATGTGTGGCATGGTAGACTAAGACACGTGAATATTGCATCAGCTAAAAGGCTTAAAGCTCTAAATCTAATTGATACCTATGAGTTGCATGAAACCCAGAAATGTCATGTATTTGTTGAGGCAAAGTTTCACAAAAAGCCTTTTAGACCTGTCACAACTAGAAGTACTGAGCTACTTGAGTTAATTCATTCTAACTTAGCTGATTTCAAGAACACTACTAGTAGAGGTGGAAAACATTATTATATTTCATTTGTTGACGATTTTTCTAGATATACGAAAATTTATCTACTAAAATCTAAAGATGAAGCTAGTAGTATGTTTTTGAAATTCAAAACTGAAGTAGAAAACCAATTGGATAGAAAGATAAAAAAGACTAAGGTCTGACAGGGGAGGCGAATATAGTGATAATTTCCTTAAAGAATTTTGTGAAATGAATGGTGTCATACATGAATTCACTGCTCTATATTCACCACAAAAAAATGGAATAGCTGAACATAAAAATAGAACGTTAAAGGAAGTGATGAATGCTATGTTATTGAGCTCTGGTTTATCTGATAAAATGTGGGGGGAAGTTACGCTCTCTGCATGTTTTGTTCTTAACAGGGTCCCTCACAAAAAGCTGAATAAGACGTCGTACGAACTTTGGAAAGGATATTCACCTAACCTAAGCTACTTGAGAGTGTGAGGGTGCTTAGCAAAAGTGACATATCCAGAATTCAAAAAACCTACGGTAGGCTCTAAAACCTTTGACTGTGTCTTTATTGGTTATGCTCAAAATAGTTCAGCGTATAGATTCATGTGCTTAAGGAATGATACAATTTGTGACTATAGAGATGTTGTATTCTTTGAAAATATTTTCCCGTTCGTCGAGAATTTGAGTGAATCATGTGTAACTCCCAAACAAACGTTACCCTCAATTCTAGTGATGAGTTGGATTCTGAACGTAGTAGTGAGGTTACAAAAGATCCAGAAATTAGGAGAAGTAAAAGGCAAAAGATTAGCAAAAGTTTTGGACCTGACTTTTTAACTACCTTTTTAGTTGAAAAATCGAATAAAATAGATAATCAATTTGCTTACATATATCTAATAGATGAAGATCCTAAAACCTACCAATAGGCTATTACTTCTATCGATTATAGCTTATGGAAAGAAGCAATTAAAAGTGAACTAGACTCCATAGTTATAAATCAAACTTGGGACTTGGTAGATCTTCCTATAGGAAATAAACCTATTAAAAGCAAATGGATCATTAAGAAGAAAATTAGACCAGATGGATCAATTGAAAAATACAAGGCTAGATTAGTGGTTGTAGGTTACACACAGAAATATGGAATTGACTATTTTGATACATATTCTCGTGTAACTAAAATAGCCACTATTAGATCTCTAATTGCTCTTGCTGCCATTCATGACCTATTAATACATCAAATGGATGTAAAAACATCATTTCTTAATGGAGATTTAGAGGAAGAGATTTATATGACACAACCTGAAGGTTTTCTAATTGCTGGTCAAGAAAATAAAGTATGCAAGCTTAGAAAATCTCTCTATGTCTTAAACAAGCTCCTAAACAATGGTATGAGAAATTCAATAGCAGTTTAGTAAACAATAGTTATAAAGTAAATTGTTCTGATACGTGTGTTTACTCAAAGTTGTTTGGAGTTGAGTGTGTGATAATATGTTTATATGTTGATGACATGCTTATTTTTGGTACAAACTTACATGTCATTAATGATACCAAGTTATTGTTATCCTCACACTTTGAGATGAAAGATCTAAGAGAAGCTGATGTAATACTTGGTGTTAAAATAAGGAAAAATGATAATGGATTCTCCTTGTGCCAGTCACACTATATAGAAAAAATGTTAAAGAAATTCAACTGTTTTGATAATCCACCTGTAAGAACACCTTATGATGCTAGCATTAGTCTAAAGAAAAATAAAGATGATACGATATCTCAATCTGAATATGCAAAGATCATAGGTAGTGTTATGTTTTTAATGAACTATACTAGACCTGACATTGCATATGTTGTAAGTAGATTGAGTAGATATACACATAATCCTAGTAATGAACATTGGACCGCTCTTCATCGTTTATTTGAGATATCTAACAGGAACCGTGGATTACTGTTTGCATTATAACAAGTTTCCTACTGTGTTAGAATTGTATTGTGATGCAAACTGGGTTGTAGATAACGATGAGGTGAGCTCTACTAGCGAATATGTGTTTCTTTTAGGTGGAGGAGCTATCTCTTGGAAGTCAGCAAAGCAGACTTGCATCGCACGTTCCACTATGGAATCCGAGTTCATAGCACTTAAATTAGCAGGACAAGAGGTTGAATGTCTGAGAAGTCTTGTTGGAGATGTGTCGTTGTGGGGGAAATATGTACCTGTATCCCTTCATTGTGACTCGCAGGCTGCCATAGGGATTGCCAAAAATAGTGTGTACAATGGCAAGAGACGCCACATACGTCTAAGACATGGAGCTGTGAAACAGTTGCTGAAAAATGACATTATCTCCTTGGATTACGTTAGGTCCGAGAGGAACTTAGCAGATCCTCCTACCAAAGGCCAAACAAGGAGGGTAATTGTAGAGTCATCAAGTTGTATGGGACTCAACATTTGATGTTTCTCATTTGTGAATCCATAGTCCTAATTTTGGGTGGTCCAGGTATGGACTTGATGGATGCAATAAAACATGAATCCATAGCCCTTCTTTTGGGTGGTCCAGGTATGGACTTGATGAATGTAATAAATCACATAGTGAATTCATAGCCCTATTTTGGATGGTTCTTATAAGGACTTGATGGATAATGTTCAAAGTCTTCATAGCCCAGTTTTGAGTGGTTTATCGATGATAGACTTGATGAAACAACAGCGTGACCGTGAAGGTTAGGCCGCCTTCTATGAAAGAGTCATAGTCTCTTTCTAGAGTTGTCCGGATGGCCCAAGGGTTCTATGTGCATGGCAATGAATAGCACTTGATAACTATCGCGGAATCAATATCAAGGATTTAAACGTGTTGTGGGGGTCTCAACTATCATTACTGGAAGTTCAAAAGGTAACTCACTTTCACTACATAGATTGTTGCTCTACTTCACTAATACATTAATTCAAATCGAAAGATATTAATGTTTAAGTTGTCCATCCTTTGCTCAGAAAAATTTGTTCTTATCTTTCGTCTTTTGTTTTACTCTTTGTCATTCGTGGCGGATTGTCGGGAATGATAAAGGTAAACTAATTCATTTTGTCCCACATGGAAAGTTGGTTTGTAAGCGAAAACCATGTAGTGGGCTTATAAACATGGTGAAAGGTAAGCCCAAGTCTTGACCCACACGTGTTCTGTCACCGTCTGGCTAGCTTGGGCGTGGGGCTATCTTTTTTAGAAGGTTTTCTTTTCCTAGGTTTTGATTTTGTCAAAACTGCGTGGTGTACTTAGAGTGATTTGTGCTAAGCCTAACTTAATTGGTTGCTTAGTAGAAGAACCAACACGTGGTGGGTGTAAATTTTTTTTTGAGTTATTTTTTTAAATCAAATTTCTTTTTTTAGCAACATAGTGACTATAAATTTTCACTTCCCCTCTCATTTTACACATCCCATCTTTCACTCCTTCTCCTTTCCTTTCCATCATTTAGAAAGATTTTTCTGAGCACGA